AATTTAGCCAATTTAGCTAGCCTGTATTCTCTCTAATTTAGCTAGCCTGTATTCTCACTAATAAGCTAATTTAGCTCGCCTGTATTCTCACTAATTTAGCCAATTAACTAGCCTGTAATCTTTATAATTTAGCTAGCCTGTATTCTCTCTAATTTAGCTAGCCTGTATTCTCTCTAATTTAGTCTGCCTGTATTCTAATTTAGCTAGCCTGTATTCTAATTTAGCTAGCCTGTAATCTTGCGTATTTAGCTAGCCTGTATTCTCACTATTTAAGCCAGCCTGTATTCTCACTAATTTAGCTAGCCTGTATTCTCTCTAATTTAGCTAGCCTGTATTCTCTCTAATTTAGCTAGCCTGTATTCTCACTAATTTAGCTAGCCTGTATTCTCACTAATTTAGCTAGCCTGTATTCTCCCTAATTTAGCCAATTTAGCTAGCCTGTAATTTTTCTAATTTAGCTAGCCTGTATTCTCCCTAATTTAGCCAATTTAGCTAGCCTGTAATCTTTCTAATTTAGCTAGCCTGTATTCTCTCTAATTTAGCTAGCCTGTATTCTCACTAAATTAGCTAGCCTGTATTCTCCCTAATTTAGCCAATTTAGCTAGCCTGTAATCTTTCTAATTTAGCTAGCCTGTATTCTCCCTAATTTAGCCAATTTAGCTAGCCTGTAATCTTTCTAATTTAGCTAGCCTGTATTCTCTCTAATTTAGCTAGCCTGTAATCTTGCTAATTTAGCTAGCCTGTATTCTCACCAAATTAGCCAATTTAGCTAGCCTGTAATCTCGCTAATTTAGCTAGCCTATATTCTCTTTTTATAGATTATTTGTATTTTCACTAAATTAAAATAATTCATTTTTTGAGCCAAATTTGCTACTACTGTAGAATACTTTATTTTAGCCGAAATTAATCTTTCCTTCAGCGAAAATTAATTCCAAGCGAAAATAAAGTATTTTACAGTTTGCGATGTACCATATTTGCTCTTTTAGTAGTGCATTTGCTTACATAAACTACAGAAGTGTTTCTATGGTCATAATTAGTCAATGATTTAGTATACAACAAATGTCATCATTGCTTCACATGAGCTTCTATTGGAGATGCACTTATAATAGAACTAATATGGTAACCACTATTTCAAAGTTGAAATAATTTGGAGACTGAGTTTTTGAATTTCTTAAGATTGCATGTTAAAACCAAGTGTGATATGTACTTATTTGTGATACTTCCTTGAGGGACACTGTCATCATAACTTTACATTACTGTGCTATACTGGGACTCATGACATTTCGGTAATCATGCAAGCTATGAACAAGAAATCAGATAAGAGATAAAACACTAAATATGTTGCCTTAGTGCATTTTTTGAGAACTGAATAGAGCAATGCGAGTGAAAACGTTAAGTTATGATGATACTGTTCCCATCATCCCTAGTTTAAATCTCTAATGCATGTGTTCCTCTGTTCTTGAATGTTGCGTGAAATGTGCAGCTATTCTTGCTACTTGGAATACTTTTACCCAACTAAGTCTTGATCTAGTGATTCATAATAATGTAAATATTAACAAAGTAGTTAAAAGCCTTGATACATATTTAGCTTGCTATGCTTTGTGCATTCATCGTCGAGTGCACACTTACACTGCAGTGTGTCTGAAAGAAAACTGATTGGTTTATATACATTTAATACTAACCTATCACTGTCACTGTTTTGCTTTTAAAAAAAAGGATCTCCGCGGCTACCTAGTAAAAAAGGTGACAATTTTGAGAGCACTACAAATTCTTGGTATTTCGTTGAGTGAAATGCTCTGTTAAATGACAAACAAATGAACATCTGGGGTGCCCAAACTTGAGTTCATTGTAAGAGTGACTTTGTGATTTCTCCCTAACTGTAAACCCTAATTGACAGCCATTTTAGATTGAAAAATTGACAAAGTACCGGTACATACAATTTCGGTGCATAATTCAAGAACTAGTTTGAGTAGCTCAAGAATTTAATACAGCCGTTCACAACGAATAAAAAAAAATTCATGAAATTCTGATCCCAAGTGAAAGTTGTATTCCCACTTTGGATGATCTGTAGAAAACCTCTCACTGACCCCATGTAAGCATTATTAAGGGTGTTGGTTTTTGTATGGTTCATAAGAAATTTTATCCAACTAAGTCTTTTTTAGCTCCGCTGTCGACTTTGTCGAGCGGAGCTTATCATATGAGTGATTGTCCGTCGTCGTCCGTGTCAATGTTTTACTTTTTCGACTTCTTCTTGAAAACTACAAGCCTGAATGCTTTGATACTTGGTGTATATGTACCTTGGGTAGACCTCTCTCAGATTTGTTCATTTCATGATGATATCTTCAATTCTCTAATTTTGGTGAATATTTTTGTCATTTTTGGTAAAAAGTGATATTTTCGACTTCTTGTTAAAAACTGTAAGTCCGATTGCTTTGATACTATACATATTGTTCATTTTCTAATGATGTCTTCAGTTCTTTAATTGAAATGTGCATTGCTAACAGCGGAGCTATCTCAGCCGATAGGCTGCTTGTTTAAAATACTTTAAAAGCAGTTATTTTTACTGACATTTCATTTCACTATTTTGATGTTTCTACACTACACTGGGTTTTAATTTCACAAACTTGGCAGGGAAACAATGAATATTATTGTTATTCTATATATTCTCATAAATTAAATCAGTGAATTTTACTTATCAGCAAAAATAACAAAATTATAAATCCAGTGAATAACTAATGTGTTTAGAGTAATCTCAAGATTTGTCGCCATAGCAACTAATTTTATCATTATTCATGGTAATAACAATAATCAGTGGGAGGTGTTCTGCATATAATACAAAATGGGTATGCCACTTTAATACTCAATTTCCTTTATTCTCAGTTCAACACAGAGGACACCGGCAGGGCAAAGAGTAGAATGGTGGAACACAAGTTAGAGGAAAAGTAATAAGCGTATTATGGGAAGAGTGTGAAGAATTTTCTGTTTTGTATTTCACTCTCTAGATTTCATTACCTGACTCTGTTGTAAGTGGTGAGCACCCGCCGCAGTCTAACTGCAGCTCACTCATGTCTGATTTATCATGGGAAAAAGTGGAAGAACGTGATACTCAAGTGACTTTATGGGTTCCCGATCATGCTGCTAATCGATGCTTTAACTGTGATGCATTGTTCTATATGCTTCAACGGAAGCACCACTGCAGGTAAGTAAGGCTACATACACCACAGATGATTGGGTGAGGCATTTAGGATGTGTGTAAGTCGACCAATCACTCCTCTTCTGTCTTTAACACACTTGTTCGTATTATGCAAGTGGGAGGTATTTCAGAATGTCCATTATGTCACTGTGGCATTTATGTGTTGATATCCTAATTTTGCATAGCTTTGGTGTTAAAAGCCCGTTTTTTTGATACACGGCCAAAACATGGCTTGTCATCGTTTCTCAACTATAAAAGTCTTATTTTGTGTTCAATGTGACTGTGCATAAACGTGAGCCATACAGTCCTTTCTATAGGTTTTTTAAACTGAAGAACACTACTATATATGAACTACTTATAGATACGTTTTGAATGTCACGTTGTAAGAGAATTGCCCCCTGGAAATTCATAGTAGTGAGTATGCAATAATGCAATAGTGTTTTTTGTTTTTGTAAAGTGCTACTTTCCTCTGAGAATGAGGAATTGAAAGTTGGAAACAGACCTTTGTGTCTCTACCTATCACCACATGTGCAATCTGTAGACTAATGCATTTG